TACATCAGCAACAGTATTTGCTTAATTCTTTCAGCATTAAGTGGAGAAATGGTTACAGATTCAGTGCCCAATAAATATTTTGTGAATTCACTGGAAGAGGACTCTGGGAACCTGTGGCCTGTGAACCTTTCCCCTTGCTGATTTTCACCACAGTAGTATTACCTATAAAAGTTAAATAAAAATATCAAAAGGCCTCTGCTATATATTTGCCTAAAAGCCTCATTCACTGTATTGTTTACTTTCTCTCCCTCACTCCCTTTGTTTCTTAATTCTTTCTCTTTTTCTCTTTCTTTCTGCTATTGCTTTCTACCTACTGTAGACTTCTTATCTAATGACTTGATTTTCTACTAAATTTAAACAAAAAGTTAAAATGTTCTTGTCTTATACGTGCTGTCTAAAAGCCAATACCAAAAAAATGGAGAGAAGAGTGAAAGAAAATAAAAGCTACAATAAATTTCACTGCTTTGATCAAAATTCTTCTAGCTTTAAATCACAATCTCATGTTTAATTTTTAACTTTGTTCAGCTTTTCTAAATTATGCTTCAAAGTTTAGAACTTTGTGTTAGAAGAACTTGTCCCTCTAAGCACATAAAATAGTTCAGAAAAAAACTGGAAATGCAAGTCTGCCATTCAGGAATACATTTTTGTTAGAGGTAACATTGAGGGCATCATACATTTTAGAAAAGTTTTTATGTAAACAAAAATTTTAAGGAGATTTTAGAGATCAAACTCTAGATTAATGCTGAGTACCTCATGAATTGGAAATAAACAAGTTTAAAATGCTATTAAAGTGTTTTGGGACAAACTGAGGTCAAACAATTATGAATCACCCATTTTCTTTGTTTTTTTCCTTATTCAGGAGATACAGTCTTAAATATTTGGGGTAAAATGTCATGCTCTCTGCACGTTTCAAGTGATTAGGAATACACACACACACACACACACATACATACATACATACATACATACATACATACATACATATATACATACAGGGAAGTGAATTCAATCTGTAGATAAGTTGTGTTATGCAATTTCTTAAAATTATTTCATGCCTGAAACTTTAAAAACTAAAAACTTGGGTGGCAGAAGACTTTCTTCAAAAGCTAGGATGTCATGTAATTGAAATGATGCTGTGGATGTGTCTCATTGGTTAGGTCACTTGCCTAACATACACAAGGCTGGGTTCAATTCCCAACAACACACACACACACACACACACACACACACACACACACACACACACACACACACACACACACACACACACACACACACACACACACACACACACACACACACACACACACACACACACACACACACACACACACACCACACCCCTAACATGAAATAATGCCAGTTATTAGAAAATCAACAACCCCTTTGGGACTGAATCTACGATATTGAGTTAAGAAGGACTTAATGTGTGTTTTGTCTGACAAACAGAGGCCTTGTTAATGTTTGACTACTAGACACTTGACCACACTCCTAGCACATTCAGCCAGCTAGTGAACCCAATCAGATGTCTGGTCACTTCAATGAATTAATCTAATGATCTTGCCCTCAAAACTGACCTAGTTGATTGAATTCTTATTTTTATGATCACTTTCATGCACAATTTGCTGAGCACTTACAAGGGACATGTTCTTAATTGTACTTTGGATGAGTAAACAGATTTATTTATTGTTATTTTTTATTTTTAGTTTTTTGCTGGTACTGGGAGTTGAAATCTGGGCCTTGTGCTATTGCTTAGCTTTTTTGCTCATGGCTGGTGGTCTACCATTTGAGCCATACCTCCATTTCTGGCTTTTTGATGATAAACTGGAGATAAGAATCTCATAGACTTTCCTTCCCCTGCTGGCTTTAAACTTTTGACACTAAGATCTCAACCCCTTGAGTAGCTAAGATTAGAGACATGAGCCTGGCTTCAGATTTATTTTTATGTAGTCAAATTTGCAACGATCTCTTTTAAACATAGGGACTGTTGCTGTTAGTTTTATTTGTTGTTGTCATACTTAGAATTTCACACTTTAAGATGATAAAAATCATTAATATGTGGTTTCTTCTAGAACTTTTATTGTTTAACATCTTATATTTTAAATTTTAAGCTATGTGAAATTGTAAGATCCATTTTCATATGAGAAATAGCTTTATTTTTTTTAACCCAAAGCTAGTTGCACAACATTATTTTAAAAATTTCTTTCACCATTCATCTAAACTTTAAACAAATGCCCCATATGTGTTTTTGCTTAATTGGGAGTTCTCTTTCATCAGAGTTTTAGTTATCATGATGATTTAGGCAATGCATCATTAAAATAATACATTTAAAGAACCAGAAAAGAAATCTTCCCCTTGGTACATTGTCATTCAGAAATTAACTGGCTATGCTCAAATGTGTTCACATCCCAGTCTGACTCAATGACAAATATTCAGTAACATACCCTTCATTATACAGACAGAGATGACATTCACGGATAACATTGTCCCATCATTGTGATTACACTAAAAAGGCCTAATTGATTCCCCCAAATGGTCCCTCAGTTTCAAATAAATATGACAACATGAAATCCTACTGGTATTTGACTAAATTTGCCCAGCAACTACAAATCAACTTCATCAAAATTCCCATTTTTAAACAATGGCATATCCTCTATCTCCAATAGCAATATATTTCTCATCAGTTCTTTGTGTCTTTGCATCCTCCCTGGCCCTGGCAGGAAACAGATGTCACACTCACATGAGAAATTGATGAGTTCAGCAAAGTGACTGTGTGTTTATACAGGATTTCAGGAAATCAGAAAAGATGAGGCAGCACTTCAGGGGAGAACCTTCCCAGCCTGGCTCTCTGAAAGGAACAATTACTGGGATTCAGGGAGGAGAGCTACATGGGACAAGCCCACCCGCCAGTTAGAAGGGGAAAGAAAGATCCTGCCCTCCAGTTTCCAATCGAGCCTTTCCAATTGGCCAAACCAAAGCAAATGGCAGCACTGAGAAAGAGTCTGGTGCTCATTCACCTCAGTCTCTAAGATGTAGAGCAGGATGGGAAGGCTCTGGTCTCCTCAAACATCTGTGTGGTTTCATTTCCTATCAATTATCTTCCCAAGCATTGCAGATTTTCTTGTTCTAAATGAGCTTTCTCCTTTCATTACCAGTTTGGGTTAGTTACTGTTTACATGTAATAAGGTTGTTAATCTCCACATCTTGATTACACAGCCAAGTGCTTTGATCTTTATATCCTGAATGGGTATCATTTGACATAGGGAATGTCCAATTTCCTTCCTGTACCAATTCTAGTATATATAAGAAATGGGCAACACTACACTTCATCTTTAAAATATTTAATGAGATGAGATGTGAAGCAGTTAATATAGTATCTGGTTCACAATAAATCCTCAGCAAATGTCATCTATTAGTCTCTCTAATAATTAGTTTTTCAGATAATTTGACTTTTCAACCCATCAATTTAAACCTGATCTTACCAGCTCATTTTTTCACATCAAACTGCCATTCCTACATCCTCTCTAGGCATGATAGGTAAACTAAAGAAATTTAAGGCCAGGTGGTACACTCCTGTGATCCCAACTATTCAGGATGTGGGAATCACAGGGAACATGATTCTAGATCAGCCTGGGCAAAAAGTTAGTGATATTCCCTATCTCAACAAATAACCTTGGCTACCCAAGCCGAGTTGGAGGTCTAAGTATGTGGATCACTATCTAAGATTTGCCCCAGGCAACAACCTAAGACCCTATTCAAGACACAAAGCAAAACAGGCTGGAGTCATGGCTTGAGTGTTAGAATGCCTACCTAGTAAACAAGGCTCTCTGTTCAAGCTCCAGTAGTACTACCTTAAAAAAATCCCTTTAAAAGTAAGGCACTGGTGGCTCATGTCTGTATTCCTAGCTACTCAAAGGGCTGAATCTGAGGACCATGGTTCTAAGCCAGTCCAGGGAGGAAAGTCCATGAGATTCATAACTCCAATTAACCACCAGAAAATTGGAAGTGGTGCTGTGGCTCAAAGTGGTAGAGTGCTAGCCTTGAGTGAAAAAGTTCAGGGACAGTGATCAGGCCCCTCTAGTTCAAGCCCCATGACTGACAATCCCCCTAAATAATAGCTATAATAGCTATAGTATTTTGACTCTAGCTTCAAAAGGCTTCCATAATCAGTTAAGAAGGGAACAGTTCCCTTGAGGACCACACTTTCAGAAGCAAAACTTTTTATGAAGCAATGGGCAGCTTTATTGCTGCTTTTATTTATTTAATGCCAGGCCTAGAGCTTGAACTCAGGCCTTGCATCACTTGGCTTTTTTGCTAAAGGCTGATACTCTACCACCTAAGCCACATCTCCCCTTATTACTTTATGGTGTTTACTTAGAGACAAAAGTCTCATGGATTTTTTTCTTCTCAGGGTGGCTTTGAACCTGGATCCTCATATATCAACCTCCTGAGTACATAGTATTACAGGTGTAAGTCATCAGTGCCCAGCACAAAGCTTTCTGTGTAGCAATGGGCAGTTTTGCCATTGCTTTAAAAACCAGCATCCCTTCCAGCTGAGTTAAAGGCAAAACAAGGCAAATTTGGATATATCTCTTAAGGTATCTATAGAACAGTGGTTCTCAACCTGTGCTGCTTTGCCTCTCATGGGCTATTTTGCCATGTCTGGAGACATCTGTGATGGTTACAAAGTAAAGGAGATAGAGCTATTGCTATCTAGTGATATAGGGCAGGGGTAGTAGGCTTATACCATCTTGTCCAACTTCCTTGTTGGGATGGAGAATGCTACCAACATCCTACAGTGTGACCAAGAATTCATCAGTCAAAATCACAGTAGTGCCAAAGTTGACAAGTCCTGTTACATGAGGAAAAAGAAAAAGATAGGTGTATCAAGTTTTTGGATTGAGAAAAGATGTTGTTCGAATTGTGGTCATGGCAATAAGAGGAACTGGTTGCTTCTGCAAACCCCATGAACGGGGTGGAAACTGCTCCCTGCTCTCTGCAATCTAACCTTCTCTTTGTCTTTAGAAAGCCCAGGGTTGACAGCCTAGAGCTGCTGTGAATGTATGTTTCCTGCGTCAATCTCTTCATTTCAGAGGACTCCAGATATAGAAGTACTCCGTGCCATCAAGCAAGGTATTTTTAAGGGTTGGATCACATTTGGATGATGTGTATTCTGTTATAAGGTAGTGGATAGGGGGGAGGGAGGAAATTCAAATCATGTACAAAACATAGTTTACCATCTAGTGATTTAAAAAAAAACATGTGGTAGTCAAAAATGTCAATTCTTGGAAGAAGATAAAATTAGACTTTTAGGAATATTTGAAATGGCTTTCAGAGTTTGACTCTTTTCTATCTAACTTTGAAGAAGGAAATACTATTAATAGATATTTTCACTAGCACATGTTTGAAGCAATGTTCACAGCATAGTTTTACATTATAGTGCTCTGTGGTGTTTGAAATGTTATCTTTGATTTCTCTGCTGTAGTTGACACTGTTGGCTGAATTGCAGGCTCATCTTGGTGCCTCTGCTGTGAAGCTCTCTTCCACCAGACTGTTAGATTCCATTTTGGAAGAAGACTGAAAATGGTAAGAACAATTAAACTGTCCCTAAAATGATTATCAATCATGTTGGCAGGCATTACAACAACATTAAAAAATGATTGGGTGGGCTGGGAAGGTGGCTCAGCATGCTTGCCTTGCATGCATGAAGCCCTGGGTTCGATTCCTCAGTGCTACATAAGCAAAAAGAAAAAAGCCGGAAGTGGCGCTGTGGCTCAAGTGGTAGAGTGCTAGCCTTGAGCTGAAGAGCTGAGGGACAGCGCCCAGACCCACAGTTCAGGCCCACGACCGGCAAAAAGAAAAAAATGATTGGAGTCATGCAATCACAACTATAATCCTAGCTGAGCTCTGAAGATTGCTATTTAAGCTAGCCCATTTAGAAAAGTCCATGAGATTCTTATCTCCAATTAACCACCAAAAAAGTAAAACATGAGGCTGTGGCTCAAGTGGCAGAGTGACAGCCATGAGCACAAAAACTAAGGGACAGTGCCCAGGCCCTATTGATGTGTGTGCACATGCATGCTTGCACATGAGTGTGCGTACACACACACACACACACACACACACACACGTGCACACGCACACACAAAGCCATTGGATTGCAAGTCTTAACTTGCATGAGAAGCAAGAGAATATTGCTCTTTCTTCTCCATTTCTCCTTACTTTCTCCTGTTGTACAAAAATAACCCCTTGTGAAAACTTACCAAAAATAGTGAGAAGTTTGACAATTATACTTTGGTGATTTCTTGGATGAAGGACTGCATAGTGATGTTTCATAATGAAGATTAATCAATCAAGGGAGTATTTCATTATTTCAAGTAAATGAATACATTCTTTCCAACTTCCTACAAAAGTTTAAATGTGTGATACAGTGAACTAGAACAGATATTTGAAATGGGGGAGGTTCTCATTTTTTCATCCTACATTTTGGGCTTTAAATTTACATATTACTGAAGTTATTTTGTACTATTTTCACCACATGGTGGTGTCTGAATGACTATGTTGATGAGGTGAGGGGAGCACTAGGCTTAAGACTAGGACTGGGGTTTGGGGGTACCTCCAGCGTTGGTGCTGTCAAAGAAGGCTAGAGAACACAATTGGTTAAACTGATACTATGGAGCTGTTGCAACAAGGGAGAAGAGACTTCGGGATAGTATTGTCTCAATTCTTGATATAGTAACAAGTAAGGATTTATAGCCAAGGAGCAGGTGGCAGTGGGTGGAAGGAAAGTTACTAAGAAGAAACTAAGAGGGTAAGGGGGAACTTACCCAACAGGATTCTTGTTTGAGTCGAGCCAAGTGATCTGACATTTGTCTCCTGGTCTATCTGAGGGGGAAGGAGCAGAGGGTTGAGGAATTTAAACAGAGAGGGAGGTGTTCAAACTGAGTGATCAGGAATCAAGGTGTGGGAAAGGATTCTCAGTAAAATGTCTTAGCAGGAGCCCTGCTCAAACTGTCAAAGGTGACACAAAACCCAAAGTCAAGGGTGCAGATTTAGAGGAACCTGACTAAAGTTGAGTCAAGGAGACTTTGTTGGTGCTGGCTGTTCTTACCACTAGCTGGAGGACTGTGTGCATGTCTCCCACGCCTTTGAAAACTCATTTTTCTCTCTGCCATGATATGAGCATCCTCATACCTGTCTGCCTTCCTCCAACAGCCATTATGAAGTTCCAATAACAATATACTTGTCCAAGTCCTTTAGTAGGGGCTTATGCAAGTGGGATTGGGTATGCCAAACACAAAGCAAAAAAGAATATGAGTGGCCTTCTGAGAGTGTGTCACACAAATTAGATTTGATGATGTGCGTTTACTAGGAAGCCACTGTGACTTCTGAACACATATGTTGGTTCCCAGGCTCATTTTGTACCTTAAGGGCTAAAGAAGCATTAACCACATGGCTTCAACACTACAGAGGAACCAACTACTTCAAGTTTCATTTCCTAGAAACCCAGATGCCTATTTTAATGCACACATGCACCCACATCTGTCTTTGCCTCTTGAGTGATGGCATGATAGGTATGATCATAAAAAGGAGCTCTCACATGGTTTGACCTCTTACTATGAGTCAAGCATTTTGCTAAGGCATTGTCACACCAAATTGGGTTAAGTCTCTAAGCAGCCCTGTGAGATGCAGATAAAGAAAGTAAAGTTCAGAGGTTAAGGAGCTTGAAGAGCTGGCATGGGCAGCCCCATGTTAGAAAGTGTGCCTGAGGGCTCTCTCTGTCCCACACCAAGCCTGGCATATACTTTTTCCTGAGGGCAGACACTCAACTGTGAACTACATTATATCAATTTTTTTGTCATACGTGGAGCTTGAACTCAGGGCTTGGATGCTGTCCCTGAGCTCTTGTGCTCAAGACAAGAGCTCTACTACTTAGAGTCACAGCTCTACTTCCTATCTTGTATCTTACTACTGAAGAACAAATGGGAAATTGTTATACTTCTAAATGAAAAACATGAAAACAATTTTTCTTTCTTTTCCCTTCTTTCCTTCCTTCCTTTTTTCTTTCTTTCTTTCCTTCCTTCCTTTTTTCCTTCCTTCCTTTTTTCCTTCCTTCCTTTTTTCCTTCCTTCCTTCCTTCCTTCCTTCCTTCCTTCCTTCCTTCCTTCCTTCCTTCCTTCCTTTCTTTTCCAGTACTGGGAATTGAACTCAGGCATTTGAATATACTAGGCAAGCACTGCACCACTTGAGTGTCCCCCAAATCCTTTTGGCTTTCAAATAGGGTCTCAGGCTTTTTCCCTAGCTGACCATAGACTGTGAACCTCCTACCTCTTCCTTCTGAGTAGCAGGGATTATAGGCATGTACTACCAGGCATAACTGGAAAGCAACTTTCAAACAAAGAAATACAAAAGGTCTTAAAACACAGGGGAAATAATTATCCTGATGAACACTCATGCTAGATCTTTTCAACCTGGAAGTTTCACTTCTAGAAACTTCTTTTTTTCCCTAGAAATTTCATTTTTAGTAGTACAGGGCTTGAATTTAGGACCTCAAGCTTGGTAGGCAGTCACTCAACCACTGAGCCTCCAGTTTTTTTGTGCTGATTATTTTGAGATTAGAGTATTGCTTTGTATCCAGGCTTGTGCCTGGATTGTGACTCACCTATTTTATGCTTTTCCTAGATAATCTAGGATGACAGGTATATGCCCAGCTTCTTTTTTGAGATGAAGTCTTGTGAATTACTTTTTTGGGGATCTCTCCCAATCTCAGCCTCCACATAACCAGGGAACTAGGTGGGTGTCACAGTTCCCTCCCCTTGTTTTCAAATTGAATTCTTCCTAAACTCAGCTTTCCAAGTAGTTGGGATTACAGGTATGAGAAACTGGTTTCTTCTTAAAGAAATAGTCTGGGCAACAGAGCAAAAGAAATATATCATGTTCCATGTTGGGAAGGGGTTAATTATTTGCAGTGAACACTTTAAAAGGATGTTATATAACTATCAGATCATGTGTTGTTTTTGCCAGTCCTGGAGCTTGAACTCAGGGCCTGGGCACTGTCCCTGAGCTTCTTTTGCTCAAGGCTAGCACTCTATCACTTGAGCCACAGCACCACTTCTGACTTTTTCTGTTTATGTGGTGCTGAGGAATAGAACCCAGGGCCTCATGCATGCTAGGCAAGCACTCTACCACTAAGCCATATTCCCAGCCCATATGTTTTTACTTTTTTAAGGTTGCTAAAAAAATATAAGAAAATACTCATTCTGTGATGTAAATTGGAAAAAAAGCAAAAGCAAGGTAGAAATTAGTAAATGTGCTCTGTATACTCCTGATATTTCTGGGTGTATGCCAGAATGGGGACTTAAACTCAGGGTTTCATGTTCTCAGTTGCCTTTTTCAGTTAAGGCTGGTGCTCCACCACCTGAACTACACTTCCATTTCTGGCTTGTTGCTGGTTAATTGGAAATAATTGTCTCACAGAATTTTACTGCCTGGGCTGACTTTGAACTATGATCCTCAGCCTCTGAGTAGCTGGGATTATGGGTATCAGCCACCTGCACCCAGTTTATTCCTGATATCTTTAATGCACATGCTAGACTAGTGCTGAATGCTAACTAAATGGTAGATGATATGAAATGATGGTTTACATAAATAAATGCATTTATGAAAGCCAGAGATCATGCGACAGAATAAGGATTTAAAATGAAATTTTCCCGTGAGAAAATCTTCTGTTACTAAAATGGTTTTTACTATATGAAATAGATGAGAGATCAAAATTGGAAGGAAATAGGCCAACATGTTCACAGTAGTTACACAATTCTTTTTTTGGTGGGAGATGGGAAAGACAGTCCTGGGGTTTGAAATCATGGTTATGTGCTTTATAGGCAGGTACTCTGTAACTTCAGCCATGCTGACAGACATACTTTCTGTGTAGTTCTAATTACAGGCATAGACCTGTAGTAACTGAGATTAGTAACTGAGATTAGGGTCTCAATAACTTTTTGCCATGATTGGCCGTGAACCTCAATCCTCCCAATCTATGCCTCCTGAGTTGCCAGGATTAACATAAGCTATTTATTATTCACAGCTATAGCTAAACAATTTTTAAAAGAAAACACTACATTTCTTTTTAACTATAGCTAATTTCTTCATGACTAAGTAAAAGGATAACGGGGTTGTCTGCTTACCAAATTAATCAAACATGAACAATTTAGAAGCTTGTATTGGAATTGAAAATAATCACTCAGATTAATCAATCTGTCCCCCATCAATAGATCATTTTTACCCCAGAAGCTCATCAAAGTTTATGGCTAAAGTTAGCAAACCATAGCCATTCCAGTTTTTTTTAAGTTAGTTACATCCTGAACTTAATTTTTTGCTAGACAAAGGAGCTTTCTTATCCAAGGTACTTCACATTCAGATTAGCCTATGATTTAAAATATTTCCAAATTCATCATAAGGGATATTTAGTGAGAAACCAGCTAGGAAAGTCCTCATGAGAGTACTTAGTGCTTAAGCACTTTGCCTTATTTGTGGTGCTTGCTTAGTCCCTAGAGAGATATACTTAACCCAAATCTACTTAGCAATCC